TTCTCCATGGAAAGCAAAGGAGGCGGGTTCAAGCTCTAAAACCATCTCCTTAAGAATAGCACTATTTTATTCTGCCTGCAAAGAGAAATAGGACTTCTTATATATTTGCTGATACACCATCCTATATCAATGGCTCTGAGAAGCTGTGGTAATATGTATTTACAGCTTAACATAAATTTTAAATAGTGTAAGAAACTTCTTCAGCAGATGAAAGAAACCAAATTTGAAATTATCACCCTTTCAGGTGTCAGGTATGAAATGGGAACTGGTCTGTAGCGTCCTTTAGTCTCTTGGGATAATAACACGTATCGTTCCACAGGCAGCTGGTGTACTTCAAGCAGAGATCTGCATGCACATCGAGTTACAAAAAACCCAGCGCGAGCAGGCTATCCCCATAATACTTCTAACGCTTCCAGCAATGGGTAGTGATTTTCTAATATTTAATTATTTAAGATACCGCTACAACGAACTACGTTCGCAGTTTATGAAAATACGATGAAGCAGTTCTCCATCTGCTTTTGTTTCTAATGACTGCAATAGGAATTTTACAGTCGGTTTCGAAACAAACAGGATCTCATCCAAAAATGAGAAATATAGTTTCGTTGCAAAAAAGATGCACTTGTCACCAGCAAAGTATTTACCCTGACAATACTAATATGAAAACATCACAGAAAAAAAATTATCAGCAGCATGCAAATACTTTGAAAGAGAACTAATGCTGAATAATTTGATCCCGCCCAAGGACACATTCAGCTTACTTGATGGCTGCTTGCTTGGCTAACTTCTGCTTTAAATTATTGCACTCAAATACTAAACTACTTCTTTTTAAAACAATCGGTAACAACACCTATATTATATATAGGAAATGTAGCACTACCACCTGTGCCATGCCCACCCTAAACGTACATGTAGGTATCAGTAATATATGTATTGGTGGTGACCTATGACAAAAATTGCTTCCAAAATGCAGTGTTATTTTAACTAATAATGTAAGCCCTCTTTTCTTGTTGACGTTTTACCTCTACGTGAATGACACCATCCACGAGGGTATAAAAAACCTGAAGACATAGTTTTACCAGTTGGTGTTTTGTCAGTTCTTTCCTGTTTTATTTTATAGAGCTGTGTTTTCAAACGGGCTGTTACGCGCCTGCTTAATTATGAATTTGTAAGTAGTTGCATGCAAACCAAGCCAGAGAGGCAGAGAGTTTGCAGGGTGGAGCCCTCCACTCGTGACCGTGACCAGAAGCAGATGCTGGAAGACCTGCAGCCCCGTGTCAACAGAGGAGCCAATGGAGGACCCACCGAAGGAAGGAAGGAATGAACGAACGAACGCCGGGTGTTGCGAACGTGCCGTTGCAGCAAAAGGCAGGAGGCAATCGCCAACATCTGACAATACACTAGTAATATACAGCATGGTAGCTCTACACCCAAATTGCAGTTCCACTAAGTCAATGCTGATAGTTTTACTACCAGATGTAGGAGTTGTGGTACAAATGCAGAACTTTCTATCACTTTGCTTATTTTAGCCACTTCCAAATTTAGTCCGTGGCTCACTGGTAGTCGACAGGGTCATGGCAAACGGTCTGCCGGTCATTCGCAGACCCATAGCAAATAATACTTCATTTCCGTCCGCTAAAAGGTCAATGAGAAAGGTGCACAGCTGTCAGTACTAAGTTTCGAGGGTCAGTGGTGGCCTGCAGCGTCAAAATATTTTGGAACTATTGACTTGACCCTACTTTTTTCCTAAGCAAACTGTAATCACTGGCAGATACGTAGAACTTCTTATTTATTGGTATGCTAGTCTATACTCAGCTGCATATTAATCTCTCTTGTCGGACCCGAACAAGCAACTTAATTTGTTAATCTTAATTGCTCTTATCAGAACAAAACCAAATCTCTTTGCTAATTATATGTTTGCTTTTGAACTTGTATTGATCTTGTCTGCTATGTCTAATTATGGACCCAGTCTTCTGCACTCCGTGGTGGACTTTAGGAGTTTTGCCGCTGTACAGCCAACTATGCATTTACTACTGATCATAAGACAGAAATTTAGGATGCTCAAGCTAGAAACTTCAGAAGGAGTTTGAGGAGTGAAAGGACTGCAGGCCAGACTTCCCTCCTAGTACAGATTACTTTGGCAATAGGTACAAAATAAGTAATGCTTCAAGGCCGGGTCCATCTGATGGGGTAGATTAACAAAGAAACTTCAGTTTATACCGGCTGAGAGGCTGGCCCAGCATATTCTGAATTAGTCAGTTCAGGCTTCATTAAATATTATTTATATTAAAAGGTGGGAGTCTACAATATAATACATAGAATGGGGGGCTCAGGTATTAAAACAAACCAAAGTAACACTGGCTCACTGACTGCTTGATGGCAACTGGTTTGTACCGTATTTAAAAATACATAGGTTAAGTGGAAATTTGAAAACACTTCCCTAGCGATGCTTTTAGGACTTTTGCTTCAAGGCGGCTGACTGGGCAGAAGAAACAGAAATCCAGAGGAAGCCTTCCACGTAACAGATGAATTTGACAGGTGTCGTCTTTACCCACACGCTATCATTTTTTTCAAGTTCCAGTATTCCCTAATAGCCATTCACAGGTTTTTAAAGCCAAAATGATCAGTGCAAGTGGTGACCGTAACCTAACTTTTGTAAATACTCATGCTCTAATTTTCGCTTCACACCAAATAGCCACCCCTTATACCAAAGCTTGCTCTGCAACCATCCCGATCTGAGGACCTCAGCCCGTGGACAACGATACACCGTGTCCAGGTAGAGGTGTTCCAGGGGCGGTTGGTCTTCACTGCCAAAATAACGAGCCAGACTTCCACTCTGACTGTTTCTAGCAGTGATTTTTCTCAGACACTTGTTCTGTTTTAACCAGAAAACTTCGAGCAAGTACTCGTCACCTTCTCCACACTGTACCGACCAGCTACTTATTTTGCAGCCGCCACCTCCACCTCCGTTTCCCGCAAATTTACGCTGCTGGAATGGGGCGGGGGGCTAGGAAAGACCTCGGCAGGGCACCACACTGCCGCGCAGCTATCTGCCCTGAGCCCACCCGGCACCGAGACCGGCTGGGGGGCAGGAGCGCGAGCCGCCTTTCCCCCGCCAAAAGGGGGGCCCCA